CTTGGGTGGGTAGATCACGCTTTGCGGTCTCCTTGCCCTCGCCCATGAAACTGCCAGTAAAGGTACTGGCTATGACGGTATGTTTGACGAAAATACGCGTCCTCCAACAGCTGGAGAGAGGCTGCTGGTTCATCTCTGGATGGCCAAACAGCTGCAAACGCAGTTAGATTTGGCCTGTGATAATGAAGTTTGGTTTTCCCTGGTAACCTAAGGGTATACAAGACCTGGAAATCAGGAGCAATCTCCACTTTCCCCAGCAGTGTGGCAGAGCCAGAGGCGTCTGCTCCACTTGCATAATCAGTGGCCTTGCAAGCAGCGAAACATTCGGAAATCTGCAACTCCCCTTGAGCACGCCGCAGAAAAACCAGGCTCCGTACAGAGCGAGCCATCAAATAACTGCTTTTTGTCAGCACGGATTACCGTTCCTTTGTCTTTGATAAAATGTGAGCCCCTTGATCCCAGCTGATTTTGATGACAGAAAAGTGCCTTATTGGTAGAGTTCCCTGACACCTATTTTACACACCAGTCTTTCCTCAGCGACCCTCTCTGCTCTCGAATGTAATGAAACACCTGGTTTAATACACACAGCAATATATTTTCTATCTTTTCATCTACTGGAAACCAGAAATGAGCCGTTTAGGAAGGCATCTATGGCTGCCTTCAACAGGAACGCGCACAAACTCCGTTATTGATCTGTGATGTAGTGACTCCAGCCAACAGACAAAAAAAATCCACTTCTTAGGATTCTGCTATAATGAAATTATCATTAAAACTCTATGAAATGTTTATTGCAGAACTTGAAACCAGGAGACAGTCCTCTGGTCTCCAGCTTTCTAAAAAGCCTGGAACTGGTTCCAGCTTTATTGAAAACTTGGTGCATCTGCTTATGACTTTGTGCAGACTTTTTTCTGGTTTCAATTAAAATTGCGTTTTGTTTGCAACTGCAAGCTAAGCTGCTGAATTGAGGGTTGAGAAAGCTGTAACTAAAACTTGAAAGCTGACGATTTCACATATCGTTTCACGTTTTCCACAACTGACAGATTGTATAATTTATATTAAACATACTTTTTCATTTTTAAACCAGATTGTTTAGGGGAAAATTGAACTTCTAATCGTCTTACTATCCAGAAAATGTGATACACTTGAAAAAGAAAAACCTCTGTGACTTTCGTTTTGAGTAAGTTTTGAAGCACATTACTTAGACTGGCAAAGGGGAGAAGGGGATATTCTTTTAGCACGAAGCTTATTTAAATGAAATGCCCAAGTCACCAAATACGACTTCTCTATAACTACGCCAAACGTCTGTACCATTTAAACCCAAGATGTGTAGTTATAGCTGCTTTAAGAACAGGATTAACAGCCTTTACTGGGGCCATAAATCCTGGGATTATTTTTGCAAGCAATTCTGGGAGTTCGAAATCTCCCTCCATTTCTTGCGCTCTCCGAAATGTCAGTGCTTGGGGGTTGCACAAGGCAGTGCCACTGCACCGAGGCGGAACAGCAGCGGCAAAGCTGGTGCGGCCCTCGATGGGTGGGAGCCTACGGCGTAACGATTACTACGCCCAGGATGTCCCATGGACTTGGGTAAGCAAGGCTTATGAAATGAAACCACGGATTTGTGCAG